TAAAAGATGGTGGCGTATAAGTAAAACAATCTAAAAATGGCACTTGAATATAGAGAAAATACTTCCTGGCCTCTTTATTAATTACTAGTTGAATTAATCTACTATATAGTTTATGGTTGTTCTATAACGCATTAAAACATTTATGCAACTTCTCACGGAAAAATTACATACATTAGTTTTTTTTGGTCAGTTTTCCCAATTTTTTTCTGTAGTCCAGATTTCTTCTGGCAAGAAATAAACAATTAACAAAAAAAAAAGAAAAAAAGAAAAAAGAGATACTATTTGGATCACCAAAAGAAAAAGTAAATGTAAAAATGGCTTCATGTGTACCTGGATGATAGTATCGGTTTAAAAGACAAAGTTGTGGAAATTACTTAACAGATAATGGTGTATAAAAAGACACGTTACAATTTTAGATTTAAAAAAAGTACAAAAATCAATAAATCTACGACTGTTACTGTAGAAGTTAAGTATGTGAAAGTTTACTAATTTCACATTTTCTAAACAAATAATTCTTCAAGGGTGTCAAGTCTCCTTGTAGAAATGTGGCTTTGTTCGCTTTTGTCACGTAGTAGTCGCAGATTTATTTCTTAAGAATAATGTTTCACAGCATTGCCCTCAGTAAAATGTTTTATTAGAGAGATATGCATAATTTAAATTTTTAGAATATTTTCTTCAATAATTAATTTTTCCTTATGCAGAATGACAACTATTTCCAGACAGGGTGCAGTTCTGGGTTTTTGCCACTAGAGGCTGACATAGAGCTGGGGATCCCTGGGAATAAATCAGGCTGGGCTCACTCGTTTGTCCTTCAGTGGTATACAAACACAATTGGGATTTGGAGTGTTGCAGGGAGACACAGCACTTGTTCATATAGCAGCCTGATTTATAGGAAGAAGCCTCCTTAGTATTTAGAGGTGATCACTGGATGCAGACCCTCCTTTGGATATATATTAAAAAAGCAACTGTGCTTCAGATGCCCTGGATGTTGCCTGGAAATGATAGTTAGAGATTGGTCCAGCTGAGAGAAGAGGTTCAGAAACCGTGCATTAAATGCTTGTTGTGAGAGATAGCCTTGAGCATTTATCGCTTTTGTCAAAATGACAGTCAGATGAGGACATGGGTATACCCACCCGCCCAAAAAAACGATGGATGGAGATCAGATTTTCAGAATTCCAAGCAAAATATCATTGTATCAAAATGAGCATCATATCTTCCTTGAGATTCTCAACTCTGGCTATTAATCAGTGATACTGTCTCCAAAATAAAAGAGCTGGTAGAGAAGGGAAATGTATGCATCACCACCTAACCAGCAGTGCCCCTTTCTACCCCCAGATTACAGATGCTCACAGCCTCCTCTGAACTGTAAGTAAATCTTTTTGCTTTTATTATTTCAGAGAGGAAGGGGGGGTGGGGGGGGGTGGAGATGGGAAATCATTGCAAAAGGGATAAAAAAAGATGTCGATGTATGTTTATTTATTTACATATAGGAGCAAGTAATTAGCAACAATATTTAATGGGTGCCTGCAAAAACAAAAGTGCATTTTAAAGGGGTTTATTATGCAGTGCACCCCTGCATTATTTGTTAACACGTAAGATCACAGGTTTAGACATTATCTTTTTGTTGTTTGTTTGTTTATTATTGTTTATTATTATTGATATGTAATGGCTTTGGGGGTGGTATACTATGTATCACTGTATTCACTGGCAGGTGCAGTACAGAATGTAGCACCTTTGGAACCTCTTGAAACAGCTGTCAATCATTATTCTGCTTCAGGAGGTTCATCGGTCCCTGCAGTAGAATTGTGAGTGCCCCTTTGCACCCCCAAACCCAAGATGTTCTACATCAGTTGTGCTATCTTTCATTCCACAGGTTGTATGTAGCAAAGCAAAGAAGGCAGGCAGTGTTCCATTTCCCCAGCCTGCCTTGTATCTAGATACACAGCTACACAGACAGAGGATGGGATTACTCGTGGCCTGGTATCTGGGCCAGTAAGATCACCCCCTCCCCAAGTTAAAAAGCTGACAATTTGTCACAAAATATAAAGAGTCACTTGATGATCAGCGTGTTAGATGTGCACTATGTGAAAGGCCTGGCTTGATGCATTTTTATAAAAGTAATTTTTCTTCTCCATCTCTTTTGTATTACAGACTGGTGATCTACATGGTGATGCTGTGAATTAAAAAGGGAGATACTGTATTTTGTGTTTATTTTTCCAATGGAGACCAAACACAGCTTATCCCCTGCTGTTGTCAGAGATGCTTTGCCTGCAGGAGGAGGTAGTAATCAAGGCATGGGAGAATCAGTGTTTACAAAGTAATGGCTGCTTGTTGCTGCAACTTGTTACCCCCTGCAGATGTCAGAAGGCCAAATTATTGCATATCCCCTGTTAGAATAATGATTATATTGACTGTGGTCAAATGAAGTGGACTCTGGAATATTTATTTTGTGAACAAAAACAAGATCATTATCTCAAAGGATCCTGAACTATGGATGATTAACACAAATAATTAATATCACATCACCAAATACTTTATCTTTTTTTTTAATTGCAGGATTTAAAAGTGCATCTCTTGGTAAAAAAGAATATTTTACACACACCTGGATATTTTCTTTGCTTTTACTTCTGGGCATTTTTCATTTTTTAAATATCGCAAATGGATTAGACAACCAGGAATTTGTATTGTAATTTATGAAATGTTGGCAAAGCTGGAGTTTGGCAAAAGGAGTTGTTTCTAGGAGAAATACCTCGATTGATACATTTGGCTGTGTTCTTCAAAGAAATCTTGTAGCTTAATAGCAAAATTATCTCCAAAGAAACCATAACAACCCCCCCCCACCCCCCCGCCCCCTCTGGGAACCATCACTGTTTGTGTCACACACCATCATTTTTAATATGTTTTGCTGCAATCTTCATTTACACTTTGGATCATTCACGTCCTGGGTACCACTTTCTGCAAAACACTTAGAAAAATAACTAAAAAGGAAAATGTTACTCCATCCCAGCAACCATAACAACTACCAGTGACATTACTTCCAGGATACCCCTGCAAACCATGGCACTGGGTCTGGTGACATTATTTTGAATTTATTATAAACACATATCTCTATTTTTTCACTTTTCCTGACTTGGACAGCTGTGGTTTTATTTATTATTTATTTATTTTGACACTTTTTTGACACTTTGTGGAAGTTTTGTGGCAGTTCACTGATTTGCCATAAAGTTCTGTGAAGGCAGTCCAGTCCAGGAGCTGCAGCCAGAGTGAGTGTGAGTGAGGGACAGCCATGGGTGCTGGGTGCTGCCCCCAGCTGAGGAACCCCCTGACCCCTCACTAGCTGCTCCCTGCCACACACACAGACTGACAGACAGAGCCGCGGGAGCGCGCCTTACACCCAGGAGAAGATGGAGGTTGCCATGGTGAGCGCGGAGAGCTCGGGCTGCAGCAGCCACCTGCCCTACGGCTACGCCCACGCGCGCGCCCGGGAGCGCGCGCGCCTGGCCCACTCCGCAGAGAAGGCAGCGGAGAAAGCCGAGAAGGCTGCGCTGGCGGCACAAGAAGGCGGGAACTCCGGGGGCGTGGCCTGTCACCCACAGCAACAGGCGGGCCGCGTAACCACCACCTCCTCCCAGGGGAACAGCGGCGGGAGCGCGCGGCGCGCCACCCAGTCCCCTCAGCAACAGCCGCCGCCGCTGTCAGCAGCAGCAGCACCACAGCCGCAGCCGGAGGAGCCGGCACCGCAGCACCGGAGGAAGGCCAACCGGCGCCGGCACTTGTGGCCCCTGGGCGGCTGCAACAGGTGGAGGAGCCGGGGCCACCGAGCGGGCAACGAATGCAGCGGAGGGGCCGGCGGAGGAGGAGGAGCAGGAGGAGAAGACGGCGGCACCTTCCCCTCGGAGCTGGCTCCCTGCGGCTCTGAGGAGACCATGCTGCGGGAGGAGGAGGACCGGGAGACCCGGGAGACCCGGGAGCAGGAGGGCGGCGGGTTCTACCTGTGCGGAGGAGGTAGTCCCTGCGAGGAGCGGCTCCCCGGCGGTGGTGGTAGCGGAGGTAGTCCGTGCGAGGAGCGGCTCCCCGGCGGTGGTAGCGGAGGTAGTCCGTGCGGGGAGCGGCCGCCCGGCGGAGGTGGGTACCACCCGGTGTACAGCGAGTTCCAGTGCTGCGAGCGGGTGGTGATTAACGTGTCCGGCCTGCGGTTCGAGACGCAGCTGAAGACGCTCACCCAGTTCCCGGACACCCTGCTCGGCGACCCGGACAAGCGGATCCGCTACTTCGACCCGCTCCGCAACGAGTACTTCTTCGACCGGAACCGGCCCAGCTTTGACGCCATCCTGTATTACTACCAGTCCGGCGGGCGGCTGAAGCGCCCGGTCAGCGTGCCCTCCGACACCTTCTCCGAGGAGGTCCGCTTCTACGAGCTGGGCGAGCAGGCGCTCAGCAAATACCGCGAGGACGAGGGCTTCGGCCGGGAGGAGGAGCGGCCGCTGCCGGACAGCCACTTCAAGCGGCAGGTGTGGCTGCTCTTCGAGTACCCGGAGAGCTCGGGGCCCGCCCGGGGCATCGCCATCGTGTCCGTGCTGGTCATCCTCATCTCCATCGTCATCTTCTGCCTGGAGACCCTGCCCGAATTCCGGGACGACAAGGACCCCCTGCTGCCCCCGCTGGGCCCCGGGGAGGAGGCCATGGCCAACGGCACCCTGCCCGGCACCAGGAGCCCCAACACCGCCTTCAACGACCCCTTCTTCATCGTGGAGACCGTGTGCATCGTCTGGTTCTCCTTCGAGTTCGCAGTGCGGCTCTTCGCCTGCCCCAGCAAGCCGGGCTTCTTCAGGAACATCATGAACATCATAGACATCGTGTCCATCCTGCCTTACTTCATCACCCTGGGCACCGAGCTGGGGCAGCAGCAGCAACTACAGCAACAACAACAGCAACTACAGCAACTACAGCAACAGCAGCAACAGCAACAGGCCAGCGGGCAGCAGCAGCAGCAGCAGGCCATGTCCTTTGCCATCCTGAGGATAATCAGGCTGGTCAGGGTCTTCCGCATCTTTAAACTATCCAGACACTCCAAGGGGCTACAAATCCTGGGGCACACGCTGAGGGCCAGCATGAGGGAACTGGGGCTGCTCATCTTCTTCCTCTTTATTGGGGTCATCCTCTTCTCCAGCGCTGTCTACTTTGCGGAGGCTGATGAGCCCACCACCCACTTCCATAGCATCCCCGATGCCTTCTGGTGGGCTGTGGTGACAATGACCACGGTGGGTTATGGGGATATGAAGCCCATCACTGTTGGGGGCAAGATAGTGGGTTCCCTGTGTGCCATAGCAGGGGTCTTGACAATAGCACTGCCCGTGCCAGTCATAGTCTCCAACTTCAACTACTTCTACCACAGAGAAACAGAGAACGATGAGCAGACTCAAGTGACATCCAATGATGAAAGTTGCCCTTACTTACCCACCAATTTGTTGAAGAAGTTAAAGGGCTCCACGTCTTCCTCCTTGCAGGACAAGTCAGACTATCTAGAGATGGAGGAAGGCATCAAAGAATCTCTCTGTATAAAAGACAAGGCTAGCCAAGGCACAGGGAATGGGAATGAGACCATTAAGTATAACTGTGTGAATTTAAAGACGCTGGAAACGGACGTGTGATATAGTGAAATATATTTTTAGAACTTTCTTAAAGTCTATTTATGCATTGAAGAGTGCAGTGATATATTTAAAAAAAATATATAATGAAATATGCAAATCTAACCTGAAAATAAACAGCTAGGTTTTCAGATTAGATATGAAATAAAGTGGCTTCCTCTTGTAAGAACATACCTACTTGGGACCAGATAGATGTTCTTTTATACAGAATGACTACATTACAGGAATTGCAGTGCCTGTTCCTTGGCTTTGTTTTTAAAGCAGCCCATATAGATACACATTTGCATTTGGGTTATTTACAAGTGAATATTCCATAGCTTAGTGTGGTAAAGCTATTCTGAGAAACATTCATCTGCAGCATTTCATACTCTAGAGAGGAATTCCTGATGCCTTTTTATCATGGGGCTCTTTTCCCCTATTCACCTCAAAAATATATATAATTAAATAAATGTTTGTCTCTCCTTGTGTGACTGCCGTGGCTTAAATGTACCCATTCAAATTTTGTTTACTTGGGTGCTGATTATATATGGGCATTTCCTTTTATTTTTTGTTATTCAAATAATTCCACATTTAAATTATTTAGGGGAACACTAATTGCAGGGAGAAACATGTCAGTTTATTTGGAAAAGGACTGTAGGTACATTGGGCATACTATAACTTGACAAAGGGGTCTATTTACTAAACAGTAAATGTTTTTTTAAGTTCCAACTTGCAAAATGTAGTTTATAATTTGGACTATAATTGCCTGAATTTTGCAAATTGGTTCCAACAACTTACTGTTAAGTGAATGGATTCCATAATGTTCTTAGAAGAGGAAACTCAAACAGTTTTAATGAAATTCTAACAAGTGGATTCCACTATAATGTTCTTATCATGTTAAACATATCAAGGAAAGTGGTAGAGTAAATGGGGGGGGGGGAGATGGTATGAAAAATGCTGTTTCAAAAGATATATTTTTTAAAATAATGCAAGTGTTTTGCACAGATATGAGCTAAATTGCTGTTTTAATTCAACATGGAGTGTGAGTGTACAAGGATAAAGTTTGGCTTTCAAATATATTTAAAATTTAAGTAATCTATATTTTTTAGTAATCATATGTGTATAAAAGAAGTGAAGTTATTTGTAAAATCAATATAATGGTTTAAATTAACCATCGCAAACCTTAATAGTACTACTATTAAACTCATGCAGCTATATACCATTTTAATCCTGATTTAGAAAAAAAAGTAGGCTTTCCTACAATGAATTTACTATGTGATGTAACACACAAAACAGCTGCTTGTATCTTCGTTTGACAATAGCTTAAACAAATAATTGTTTTTTTTTTACAAACTGTAAGGGCTGCCAACTATGCACATTTATTAGGTTATACTAGGGAAAGACTTCCATCCGCTGCATGTCCTACATATGTAGGGAATGCTTTCTTCGCACTATAGTATATGCTGGATAAATAGATATTTAAAGAGACGTCGTACTGTGAACCATTTCTGTAAATTTAAAGTTTAAAGACAATCATTAACGCAGGACTTAAGTGGCATCCTGTTAAAAATTCTATATATGTTAATTATAAAATTGTTGGCTTTAACAGTAGATATTCTAGTACTAAGAAGTGTTACAGGTTTGTGAAATGGAGCGTTATATATATTTTTATTACTTTTATTATGTTTAGCTTGTCATATAAATATGGAATAATGAATATGTAAGAGAATTTTATTTTTACATACATATAGATTTTTTGTTCAACATTTAATCTAGTTAAAAAAAGTTTGACAATTACTGCTTTTATTGTACTGTACAGTAGGCCTTAATCTTAAACGTATACATATTGTACCAAAGCCCACATACGTGAATGCATCAAGTTTTCTATTTAATTAGTAGATAAATTATATTTAATATGTTTTATTAGAAAAAAAAATCACATACAAAGCAATTGGCTGGAAAGCTATATTGTGCAATTATTTCTTAGAATATATTCTCTATATATTCTGCAAGATTTGCTTATGTGCCTACATTTCCGTTTGGTTTACAGTGGCGAATGTCTTGTTTTAATATTGTGGTTTAAGTTAAATGAAAACCACATTATTACAAAAATCCAGTTACATTGCTTAGCGTGAATGAAGCATTCCATGTTATGTAAAGTACAACTTGATAATGTTCAGAAAAATAGGTAATTTTATATCTCTGTATCAAATTAGAGTTCCCCTTCTTTAAAAAAGTTTGCTTCCAGAGGGGTCTGCAACAATTTAGACAGAGATAACTTGGCAGACCTCTAATGCTGTTTAATATGTGAACCTAAAGGGAGAAAATAAAATCTTGGGATATTCTGGAAACTTGGTTAAACTGCCATGTCTTTAGTATTGGTTTACAAGCAAAATACATATCTGCATGCAACAAAAGTGTAATCAACTGTTCATCTATTTTAAAAGGTTAAACATTTTCACAACCTTGTGGAAATCATTGTTGCAAATGTTTGTTTCTGCAACCATGATTTTGTGCAGAAATAGAAAACTAAAAAGGAACACATTCACCAACCTTTACTAAGATGTCAGTCTGGTGGGTGTTGGGTAAGTACATTATTTATTTATTTTTGCTTTTGTTTAAACTGGCGTTTACCATCTCAATATGTATAATTACGAATTCAGCCTCATCTTTTAGTACATTTCTATGTAGAGCAGGACTGGTGATTAATAATGAGATTGTTCATTTTTTAAGTGTACACTGTCCTGTTGCAATCATGTATTGCAGACAACTAGATTATAATGGAATTAAATGGAACATCTCGAATGGAATAGGTTTACTGTAGTTTATTAATCCTTAACACTGCAGAATGTTTCTCTTTAAATATAATTCAGTTTTTCTGTTTGGAGAGCTGTGTAAAGCTATGTAAACTAAATGATGCTGAATGCTTCTGCTTTTGCCCAGTGCACAGAAGAACACTCATCAGTTAAGCGGTTAAGTACATTTACATGAAGAAATTAAGACACAATAAACTCACTGTACTTTTATAGTGCCTACTTGAAGGATAGAACTGTCTCCAAATTTTGTGGTTTCTGCAAATATAAAACTACAGCTTCTAACATTGCCAGGACAAACTAAATAATCACCAAGGGTTTACAGTGTAGTTTTTGGCCAGATAACTCTGGAATGAAGAAATTAAAAAGAGTTTCATGACTAAGTGTGTTGAGTGACTGAAGGGGAACAAATTCAGCATTGACTGTGTGTCAGCATGTACTAATCGCACCATAAACCCCCCACAAATCATGTAACTATTCCACAGTTGTAGGTGGTTTATAATTCATTGTTATTAATCTAGAGAACACTGGCAGCAAATGTTTGCAGAATGTTTTAATGCCAATTTTTATTTCTCAGTCAACCATGCATTTCCTGGTGACATGTTATGATGATAGAACCGTGATACTGTGTTTTAAGAAAATGTGAAAATGAAGAGTTTGTGATTTTAAAAGTTGCAAATATGTTGTGGAGTATTGGGTTAATTCAGCAATGTTTGCATTTTTGCAATAATTACTAAGTAACTGAACATTAGTGAAAAAACAAGGCATGGTCGCTCAGTTTATGCATTTAAAAACCTTTGACATGCCAACAGTTCAAGGCAATACAAAATAATTTGTGTTTGTTTAATAGCACAGTTAACTGATTAGCTTAACTTTGGCAGGCCAAAGGCCCTTAAGGAATGAAATCAATTGAACACCCCTGATGTAGTTACATACAATCAGACAAATGTGTCTAGATTTTTCTAAACAAACACAGTGGATCTAGTGCATTGTGTGAAAGTGAATGGTGCATTGTTGGTTTTCATACATGTACATCACAGCCTTCCCTAAAATGATAAAAAATAAAAATAAAAAAATTAAATCACGATAGTACAATATACTTAATAATGCTGCATATTAAAGGAATTGTGTATTATTTGGATGGAAGCCAATATAGACACTATACAAGTAGTGCTAATTTAATATATTGTTTAGAGGAAATATTAAGGGTAAACTGTATTACTATTGGAGTGCTCACCCATGGTTATCTATTGTAAACATTTCCATGGTTTTAAAAATGAAATAGTAAGAAGGACCCTAGGAGTGCAAATTATTAAATCACCTAGGGCGGTTATACTCAATGATGTTTCTCAGACCTGTGATTGGATATTGATACTTTAGAGAGAGTTCAGAGAAGGGCTACTAAACTGGTTCATGGATTGCAGGATAAAACTTACCAGGAAAGGTTAAAGGATCTTAACATGTATAGCTTGGAGGAAAGACGAGACAGGGGGGATATGATAGAAACATTTAAATATATAAAGGGAATCAACACAGTAAAGGAGGAGACTATATTTAAAAGAAGAAAAACTACCACAACAAGAGGACATAGTCTTAAATTAGAGGGACAAAGGTTTAAAAATAATATCAGGAAGTATTACTTTACTGAGAGGGTATTGGATGCATGGAATAGCCTTCCAGCTGAAGTGGTAGAGGTTAATACAGTGAAGGAGTTTAAGCATGCGTGGGATAGACATAAGGCTATTTTAGATATAAGCGACTAATGAAAGTATTTTAGAAAATTGGGCAGAATGGATGGGCCGAATGGTTCTTATCTGCCGTCACATTCTATGTTTCTATGTGCCACTTTGCAAAACATTACTTGCCATTCAGCTTGACCATCACTAATTGAATGGCCTAGCATGGCGGTAAAAATTGCAGGTTGGTTATTGATATTGTTACTTTACTTGTATCTTTTACAGCTGTGCTGAGGCTTTTAACCAGTCAGTGGAAAGAAATATTTCCCCAGGATCTAAGTAGGTTGGATCTATTAATGGAGTACCATTCCTAAGCACGGTTTGAGACTATTGAAAGGTAGTTCAAACAAACAAAAGCAAAACTTAGCCGTGGGGAACCTTCCAACTGCAGTGCAAAGTGACTTGATGGGAAACTGATTAGCTCAGTGGTGTCAAAAGGGTCTCAACTAGGGTGAATCTGTAAAATATATATTTGCAAGTGAATGTAGCATATTATAGGCCACGTGTTACTGAGTAGCACCTCACTCTGCTTTAAAGATGTCTAACATGAGAATATTGCACAATGAAAAGTTACTGAAAGTGCTATGATGACAATTGATATTCTGTTTATCTTAAATGTGGTGTAAAATGTAAATTTAATTAACTCCTTGACGCCTAGAACACGAGTCTAAAAGAGCACATTTGCACCATGGCATTATGGTAAAAAAAAGCTTGTGTATTGCATTAGGAAATGGCATTATGGGGAAAAAGCTCTTTTATTACATTATTATGGAATCTTAGTAACATGTCTGTCCCACACTTGGAAGTCCAGCGGTTCTGTGTGCTCTATTTATCTCCTCTGAACCGCTGTTTCTACCATATGCATCACTAGCATTTATTGGGAAGAGGAAAAAGGGAAAATATCACAATTATGTTACACATTCTCTTTAAGCTCTTAACTGGCATCCGAATTCCAAATATTAGTTTTTAGTGGTTTTAGCTTTGGTTCTCCTTGGCAACTTAAATATGGTTTCTTTGGAGCTATAAGAGCCTGTCACCACAGTCCAAGTTTGGACAGGTAATGTAGGGGTGTAACTTATTCTGGCAGCAGAGTGGCTAGACTTTGGGTGCTAATGAGAAGTACAGTATTTGTCAAACCTATAAAAATGATATGACTGAAAGCTGTGACAGCACCCAAAGACTTGCTCAACCATAACCTATAGTAAGTTGTTGTGGGTATGTTGTGTAAAGTGTTTTAATGTTATTCAAAGCTACTAAAGGTTGACAGTAAGAATAGTTGACTGGAATAAACTTTCAGTAGTACTTGCAGTGGTTTATGGGATATGTAGTTGCATATGAGTGCAACTGCTCAATAAGCTAATAGTGCAGCTGTTTAAAGCCTTGTTACGTTTTGTGAAGTGGGCTGTTTGCTTTGGTTTGCTGAATCAATTACTGTGATTTCAGTTCTATCTCTCCAGGGTAAAGAGATGCTTGTGATATTGGACAGGTCTTGGATAGTCAAGGAGGAAGTGAAAAAAACAACCTATTTTTAAAGTCTGATAACTGTAGGGGGGTGCAGACTTAGAGCCACAACAATTCTATTTAATTGCTGCAGCAATACACTACTTTGGTAAGATATACTGGTTACAGGTCTCATTTTTCCAATGACACCCAATGTTGATGTAAGTGGTGTCAATTTTCTGAAATGTCAGTTTACATAACTCCTTCCATCCCAACCCTAGGCATGTACAGATTGAATTGTATTATACATTTGCAAATCAAAACTTAGAGGGATTCTATAGTGCCAGGAAAACAAAACAGTTTTCCTGGCACTAAAGAATCCTACAGTGCCCCCCTCCTGTGGTGCTAAAGGGGTTAAAACCCCTTCAATTACCTGAATCAAGCGCTGATGTCCCTCGGTGCTGGGTCAGGCTCCGGCCACGCTACTCTATCCCCAATATCATCTGCTTTCCTATGGGTTAAAATCTGCCGCTGGAAGTCCTCATACAGAGCGTGAGGACGTCCAGTGTCAGATACCGGACCAAAGGATTGTTTCAATTCAGGACGTCCCTCTAGTGGCAGTCTGGTGGGTTAACTCCACCTCTAGTGGAACACAGCCACCAGAGGTGGAGTTAACCCTCTGAGGTAATATTCTGAGAAACTGCCATTACCACCACTGTAGGGTTAAGGGACATGGGTCATAGCACCCAGACCACTTCAATGAGCTCAAGTGGTCTGGGTGCCTACAGTGGCAACTCCCATTTATCCTTCCTTGCCCTCCATGGTTATAACTTAACATATTTCCCGTCTAAACCCATTTAATATGCAGAGGGACTGTAAATAAAAATATCCTCCCTTCTCCCTGACTATACAGGACCCAAATTTCCCAAAATGCAGTGGTTGAATTAAAAATACCAGAGAAGGGGAGTGCACTGTACAGTACATATTTCTGGTTTTATCCACGCAACTATATGCACTATATGTTGATATTTTTATTTATTTTTTACATGCTGGTGGCATGTTTGGGAAGCTGCGTTCAAAAAAATTGCCACATGATTCCTTGTTAATACTGTATTTCAGTATTTTACTTACCTGGCCTTATCATACCTGCTGTATAAAGGAAATCTCTATTTGTATCTCACGCTGATCTTTCAAACACTGTCTGACATGAAGCAAAATAAGCAAAACAATCCAATTTCGGTAACGGTTTAAGCCTACACTATTTGTGTAAAGAATAAATAACAAAAATGAAAGTGTACTTAATGTTTAGGTAACAAGTACTAAAAACTATGAATTATCTTTATTAAAACGGCAGATAAATCAACAAGAGACTCAAAATAAACACCAAGCTAAGTGGCGAAAGTGAAAACATATATACAGTGCAGTGATTGCAAACTACAAAACCCACTGTTCTACCCTGGGAATCCTTAGCCTAAGACAGCAGCTATAAACAGTAAGGGCTATAGAAAGACAGACTGCTAGAACAAAAACAACTGCTTTGGACCTAGTGACAAAGGTCTGTCTTCACACCAAAACGGACGTCGGGGTTTGTCTTTTTCAATATATTTTAACACTTTTCTTACACTCACATGCCTAACACTGGTAGCACCTTTTATTTATTTCTCCTATTGAACCCTGTCCCTCTTATTTTCTACCTCTGGTTATTTGTAGGCACACTCCTTAGTGTGAGCGGAGGTTGTCAAAGGGTTAAGTTCTTAATTTGGTTATATTAGGGACACTCTAGTGTGAGCTGAGGTTGTCACGGTTTAGTTTTGCAATTTGGTTTAAGGCTAGGTAGGCACTCTAATTACCTCACTTTTTAATTTAACTTGGTCTCGTATCTATATGCAACTATTTGGACATCATACTATGAATACCATTTTTTTTAAATTATTTGCCTTAGCCAAACATACACAATATATTTAGGAGTGGTTTTTTTTCTCACCTGTTATTCTACCTCCTTACACCTGTAGCATTTACTTTTTCATCCTTAGACATTGTTTACCTCCACGTTTTACTTCACCTGTATAGAGCTACTTCTAGGACCTGTTGTTTAGTGGATATACCCTTCATGCTGTTTTTCTTCTAGCAATCAGTTTTTTATCCCTATCTATAGCCCGTATTGTCTATAGCTGCTTTCTAAAGCTAAGGATCCCCCTCCCCTTCCCCTCGCTCTTTCTAGGGTAAAACAGTGGGTTTTGCTATCACTGCACTGGGTATATGTTTTCACATGCACCACTTAACTTGGTGTTTATTTGAAGTTTCTTTTTTATTTATCTGCCGCTTTAATAAAGCTAATTAATAGGTTTAAATCTTACCCTTGTAACTATTAAGAACTAGTCTGTTTGGGTCTTTTTTCGTTCATGTGGTTGTTATCCGCTTACTGTGGGTTCCCCCCACCTGGGTTTAAGGCTTGATTTTTCCCTTCACCTACATTTAATGCATTTTTAGGTCTTGTCTATTAACATACCCTGAACCACATATAAATGCGGTATCTAATTATGTTTTTAAATAAATGCTTCTCTAGCTTTTCTGTTTTCACTAAAGATAACTGAAGGATTTCACTGGACACACAGTAGTTTGCTCAGTTTGTTTTAAAAAAAATTATTTTCACTTTACTAGAGGGTTATGTCAGATGATTGTCCAGAAAGTTTATCCATAATGACATATAAAACATTGCAAGTGAAAGACGACTTACATTAAATGCCTGGTCTGTGTCTTTCTAGACTGTATTTGCGAAATTAAAGTATAATATCTTTTAAAAAACAAATTACGTAACCATACAAAAAAAATACTATTTCAGTTTTATGTAAAATATGGTATAAATTGTGCAGTCAAATAATGGTATCAAAGTATTTTTATTACTATTATCGATAAGACAACTACATGTTCCGCAGAGCTTTGCAGTGGGCTCACACGACATACTCATGTAAAATTTAAATGTAATCAATTGTATTTAAGTAAAATGATGACATGTTTAGCCACTAAATAGTGAATTGCCATGAATTTGCAACCAAATTGCACAATTTAGGCTAACATACGAGAAACATTTTATCAATATGTTTACAGTTGATAAGAAACCACTTGTTGAATGTTTGCTCTAGATGATGTGAGTGATTTTACAGCTAAAACAAGTAGGAGGAACTTAGCTTATTGTGGCTCTTGTCAGTAGCCTCGAGGTTTCGTGAGTATTGGGGGTTAGTTGTTGAGGTCCAAATGGTGAATGTGCTGTTCTAACCAATGTATTTCCTAGTCTGGGAAAGGACAGAATGTGGCAGTGAAGATAAGGCGGAGAACGTGGGTAGAATATTGTAATCATGGCTGTGGAGTGGGGAGTATGACAGAGACGGGCTAACTGAACTGATGCTAACTGAGGGAAACTGTCACTTTCCAGGTTTAGCTCCACTTTTTAAACACATGTATTTGTGAGGTGTGAAAAAATAAACACCTGTTTATCCTCCAACTGGGGGCATCCATCTTGGCTCCCTGCCAATCACTGTCATTTGCACCTGTCAGTCAGTGTAGAGAAAGCATACAGAGAGGAGGCAAATTTAACAATTTACACAAATACACAAAAAATGGATTAGCGCTAATATATCAGTGAATAGGCAGCAACCACAACAAAGGGGATCCCTCTCACCCTTTGAACAGAAAACAGGAGTGTACAAAGATAGATAAGGGCTGTGCCACAGAGGGTAATAAAATACTATATTTAATTACCTTCTGTGGCACAGCTCTTATCTATCTTTGTACACTCAAATTTAACAATTTGTCTGTTTCTCCTCTACATTTGCAATGTTTCTCCTGCCTTTGCCTTAACCCCTCAAGGACCAAACTTCTGGAATAAAAGGGAATCATGACATGTCACACATGTCATGTGTCCTTAAGGGGTTAAATGGACTCTAAAGTCACCCAGACCACTTCAGCTCAATGAAGTGGTCTGGGTGCCAGGTCCCTCATGTTTTAACCCTGCAGATGTAAACATAGCAGTTTAAGGTGCTGGATTAAGGTAAGTTATAACCCCTTCAGCCCAGCGGGAGGGAGACCTAAGGGTTATATAGTGTCAGGAAAACGAGTTTGATCCTTTAACTGGATTATAATGCAAAATCTTTAATAAATGTTTAAAATAAAATAGAGCATCTCATGAAAAAGGTTAACACCAATTATAAATTATTTTAAATTGTTGTAAATTCTACAGAAGTGACCGTTCCCTTTAATACCTATGATTGATGCTGTAGTGTGATGAAAATAGGTGAATTGGAGAATATTAACATATTGAAGTAAATAATTATTTGAAAAAATTCCAGTATGTTTCACAGTTACAAGCAATAAAAAAGAGAGAAAAAAAAAGATACGATTTTATAAATCCCTACAGGGAACACGTCTCACGTCCCACTTTATTGGTACACCAATTAATCTGTCACATTACCTAAATCATGCTTTAGATTTTATAAAATGCCTTTGATGTGTTTAATAACATAACCAGTGTGGATGAGCGAATATAACACATTGGCCTGAATTTTGTGGTTTGAATTTCATTGTCATCACAATGTACTGTTTAGCGAATAATTCCCTTTAAACTCGTTTAAATCTGGTCTACATATTTGACATATACCCTTCATTGGTCCACTACATTCCTTTGAGTCACATCTCCCTGTAGACACAGTATCATTGAGTAAGTATACAGAATACAAAATGGGGTGATTGGGAGCGCTAAGCAATATGGCTATCTTTTAGTGTGTTTGAAAATGTTAAAATCTGAAACAGTGTACTGTAAAGAGTGTGGCACGATGTACTGCATTTTATTAAATGTAGACACACCATTTATTATTAGGATCTAATCTCTCTAAATATATATATTTAAGAGATTTTCTTATTCAATTATAACTTGCCATTTACTTCCCCCACAATTCTTGTCTTGTATGTGCAAAAGAGAGCCCTAGGCATTTAAAGAAGAGGCCACCTCCCATCAGCTGTCATGACTGAAGTCTGATTATAAATTAATCAATATTCCAGACCAGTTTTTCCCTCTTTTGATATTTTGTTGTACACATTATAAAGCAGCCCTTTTGTCTTATGCCAATCTGAAATTCACTGCCATTGCAATGCAATATACTTGTATGTTTTCATAAAGCTTGTAGCTCTTTGAAAAACACAAAAATGACAAGTCAGCTTTAAGTGTACAAAAAAAAATGCAACATTGGGTAAAAACAGATACCTCGCCTTGTGCTTAGTGGGTAAATTGTTCAATGCAATGTTTTTCTTTTCCAACTTTTCAGTTTTGTTTTAAGTTGGTCCATGCATCAGGGTGGTCGTTTGGCTTTCCAAGATGGGAAACAACTTAGAAATAGCTTTCCAAGATGGAAAACAAGTGTCTGCTTCTAGACACGTGTGGGGCCTCTGCTGCTGTAAATAGTTGTGCACTTTATGTAAAAGCTAAAACTCTTTCGCAGAAATAGTTTTTTTTCTAGGGCTTATGTTTGAGTTCCAGTCTGAAGAATATACCGAGAGTGGTCAGCTGATGCTCTCAGACAATGTTTACTGAGAGTGCTCAATGTGTAGGTCCCTTAATGCAGGGCTTAGTTCAGGAGATTTCATAGAAGCATTGTGAAGGTGCTTCAGACTCTGCTGGGGATTGTCACCAGAATCCAGGGAACACCACGCAATTTATTAGATCGTTCACAAATGGTTTGACTACTTTCTATGAGAGAGAACTAGGACATTCCTGGCACCATAACAACTGCAGTGGACTATAGTGGTTTTGGTGCTTGGATCATTTTCTTGAAAAGTGTTTAAAGGATGGGTTCACTAGTGCGACTTCCACTAAAGTTGCCCTCTAAAGTGAAAAATGCCTGAAATTGAGTGCTTCTGCTAATCGTATTTCTTCACTCTTTCCCCACTAACTGTAACTATACCGTGTGAATCGTTTACATATCCAGTTAGATTTAGTTGGCTGTTGTGTCATTTTTTTAACTTTTCATCTATTTCCGTATATAGAAAGGATTACCTGTGTGGGACCTTTCGGAAGGTGGATAAAATGTATCTTAAAATACTTTATTAATAGGGATGTGTTCTTTTTCATGTAGGTTAAGAGCGAACACTTATTCTCTCCTATATTGAGTGATTTGTGAGAGAGGCGAGGATTTTGTAATTTAGGAGCATGTATGCTAGTGCAGCTGTGTGTTGGGTTGATCATACTGACTGAGTATACTTATTATTGGATTTTTGAAGTTATGAGTGGTTAGAGCCAGAGGTACTGGACATGCTGCTGGCGGAGACTGGTGTGGGTTTGGGCAAGAGTAGTGCTGAGGATGAACCAGTAGAGCTTCTAATTTAAAGTGGCACATATAGTGGACCAGTGGATTAGGAATGGGGCTGACATATTCTACCAGGGCTCATGTAACCAGTCCTTTTCTTACTGCACAAGGCCCAAAAGATGCTAAATTGGCTACATTATTGGCAGGCAGATAATTTATATGCATGTTACAGATCTTTCATATGCATTTACAATTATTTATAGAGCACCAACATATTTTGCAGTGCTGTACAATAGTTAAATAAGACAAACCATTCTAACAAAACATGTTTGACTTACAGGAGTAGTAGCTAGAGTTGCTCTGTATTGCATTAATATCTGCTTTTAAAAGTAACTATATGTTACATTAGCATTATGCCCACTTACCAACATTAGCATCCCGGTAGCATTTTTTGAAGGTCGTGCCCAGTAGGAAATTTTGCCCAGCCCTCATTACTGTACATGAGCTGATATGGTCCAAATACCTTAGCCACATTGTTGAGGAAGATATGAAGTTAGTAGTTACTAGACAGCTTCTACACATACTGCAATATGAGCCTGTAATGCCCTGTATTTAGAGATAAATTCGTTTAGCTGGGAATTATGTATTTAAACATTGTGTCCACTTACAAATACTGTTTAAACATGCTGGTTGCATTTTGGGGAAGCATCATCTCCCAAAATTAGGATCTTTTAGGATCCTTACAAATTGTCCTTTGTGTTTATTTTTTTCAAAACCGTTATATGTAGCAAACATGGTATTTTTTTTCTTCTTCACTAACCTCTCTCTCTCTCTCTCTCTCTCTCTCTCTCTCATAGAATGTAGCAAACTTTTTATAGTCTTGATTTTTCTTTAAAATAGTGAAAAACAATAAAAGGGAAATAAATGGGAAAATTTAAGATTATGCTAGCTTTAGTGTACAGATAATCCTAATTTTAATAATGACAGGAGGCGAGTATTTTGCATAATCTTTCTTTACTATCTCCATAGCAGCAAAGAAAAGAGTGACAAAACTTTTAACCAATCACAGCGTAGAATAGGGTATAAGAGGTGAGACCTATGACATAATTTCCTCTTTAAGATTGCGATATCACAAGTTCATAAATGTAGAAAAATAATAGAACAGTAGAGAAGTCCATAGAACAAGAAAACTGGAAAACTTAGTCAGAATAAATTGAACCGGAACAGGTAGAATGTTGATGAAGGCGTCTCTTTGTCAAACGATGGTCTACCAAGACCTGATGATGAATCTTCTGATGTGATAATGACGACATCTTGCATGGAGACTTTAATGATTCCGTGTAGCTTCTGGTTAAGCTGAAACGAGAGTATAAGGTGCGTTAGAATCCAGAAGTGATTGTATAAAACAAAGGATGTCTGTCCCGTAATTCAACTTTAATATCGTCTAGTAACATGACAATAATAATAGTAAACTAAACGTCCTCCCTAGAGGTGTTAAATAAATATCCCACCCAGACAATATATATATATCTCTATAATGTAAATAGGGCATTTAAACAAGCGATACCGCGTCAGGTATCATACCAACATATGAGAGAGCAAAGTGTAGTAGGTAGAAGTGAAAGTAAAAGGGAGGGAAGAACGAAAGAGAACAGGGAGGGAAAATACTCGCCTCCTGTCATTATTAAAATTAAGATTATCTGTACACTAAAGCTAGCATAATCTTCAATTTTATCACATGACAGGAGGCTTCGTATTTTGCAATTTCAACGCTGTGAAAGAAAGGCAAATGCCGGATTATCAAGAGGACGAAAGTAGAATGTCCTAAAGGTAGATTCTCTGGTCCAGTCCGCCGCTCGTAAAATGTCCGAGAGGGACGCGCCTGCCGCATAAGCGGAAGAGGCCGCTGCCCCCCGAACGGAGTGTGCTCCAAAAGTTTGGTCAATACCGGCAAGGGATAGTAGCCATCTAACCCATCTGGCCAGAGTAGTAACCGAAACCGGACCATAAGGGCGGACGTAAGAGATGAGAAGTTGATGAGTGGAAGGCTGCCGCAACGTCGCGGTGGCTTCCACGTAGTGACGGAGGGTTGAGACCACGCAGAGTTGAGGGTCAGAAGGGAAGAAAGGGTAGAAGACCGAGTGAGAGTTGGACTTAGTGCGACGTGAGATCCGAAAGGTGACACCCGCCGGACAGAAAGTAAATGCGTTGGCGTCAAAGGCGCGTACATCCGCTACCCGTCGAAAGGAAACCAGACAGAGCAGGAGGGTGAATTTTGCGGTAAGCTGGCGGAGTGATAGTTTCTCGTTGGGAGGCCAATTACGTAAAAATTGAAGGACCACACCAACGTCCCAGAGACTAGAATATTTAGGTTCCGGGGGGCGCCGTAGGCGCATGCCGCGGAGAAGTCTGCAGATGAGCGGGTCCTTACCAACAGGAATCCCCTGTATCGGAGTATGAGCCGCTGAGATGGCTGACCGTACCACGTTGATGGAACGGTATGACTTTCCGGCGGTGAAAAGTGAAGTCAGGAAATTCATGATGGAGTGAGTAGGTGCAGTAAAGGGATTGAGGTCCCGTCCCACACACCAACTTGTCCAGGAGTGCCATGCTGATAAGTAGCACCTACTAGTTCCTGGTGCCCATGAATCCCATAGCAGGTCCTTAGTTTCCTGCGATAATTCTTCGGTTCTCCAGGAACCCCGGAAAGAGTCCAGGCCACAAGGGGCAAGCGTTCCTGCAGGACTAGTGGGTGAGGTAGGCCCAATGGATTCCTGAGGATGGTTGGGGCATCTGGTTCGTTGATTGAGAGTTCCAGAAGATCCGGAAACCATGGCTGGCTCTGCCAGAGCGGCGTGATGAGAATTATTCTCATTCCCTGTAGACGGATCCGGTGAAGGACCCTCGTTATCATTGCGAAAGGAGGGAATGCGTAGGCGCCGTCCCTTGGCCATTGTTGGAGAAAAGCGTCCGTTGCGAGGCTCTCCGGGTCTGGGAGCCAGCTGAAGAAAACCTCTGTCTGTCGATTGTCGATTGTTGCGGGACGCGAAAAGGTCTATGTAGAGAGGTCCCCTCTGTGCATCCAGTAGCGCGAAAATATGAGGGTCCAGCTGCCAATCGCTGGCGTCCCGCCAGTGGCGTGAGTACCAATCCGCCGTCGTATTGGAGTCTCCTGGTAAGTGCTCTGCCAGCAAGGTGATGTTGCGTGGTAGGCAATAGTCGAAGATCTCTTTCGTGAGATTCGCCAGTGTTCGAGAACGAGTGCCTCCAAGGCGGTTGATGTATCTGACCGCTGAGACGTTGTCCATGCGGAGTAGGATGCAACAGTTGGATCGGTCCTTTGCCAGGCTGTGAATGGCGAAGGACCCGGCCAAGAGTTCCAGGCAATTTATGTGCATCGAGAGCTCTTCGGAAGTCCAGACTCCTCCTGTGGACGTGGTTCCGTCTGTTGCCCCCCAGCCTGAACGGCTGGCATCCGATTCCAGCACGAAGTCTGGCTGGTTCCCGAATATGGCCCTGCCATTCCAAGCCTGCATGCAATTCAGCCACCAGTGTAGTTCTTCCCGAACTTCGACCGACATTGGAACCGGTTGGTCGTATGTCGGTTGTCTGCGAAGGAAACTTGCCTTGAGGCGTTGCATGGCCCTGTAGTGCAGGGGCCCGGGAAAAATGGCCTGGATGGACGCGGAGAGAAGGCCTACGATCCGTGCCAGTAATCGTAGGGGTATGGTAGTCCGACGAAGGACTTTCCGGATCTCCCTGCGGATTGCAGTAATTTTGGTAGCCGGGAGGTGAAGAGTGCATGATGTGGAGTCTATTACGAATCCGAGGAATTGAACTGATTGAGCCGGGGTCAATGCGGACTTGGGACGGTTGACGACGAAACCCAGAGAGTCCAAAAGGTGTAGTGCGTATTCCGTATGTCTCCGCAGAGTGTCTGCATCCTCGTCGAAGATCAGGATATCGTCGAGGTAGATGATGCATCTTATGCCTTGGGATCTGATTTTTGCCACTACCGGCTTCATAATCTTGGTAAAACACCACGGGGCCGAGCTGAGGCCAAACGGGAGACAGGTGAACTGCCAGGGGATCCCGTGCCAGAAGAAGCGGAGGTAGGGACGGCTGCTTCTGTGTACCGGAATGGTAAGGTACGCATCTTTGAGGTCCAGACGAGTGAACCAGTCGTCGCGTCGAAGCAAGTCCCGGAGGAGATGTATACCTTCCATTTTGAAATGTCGATATACCACGTGCGAATTGAGCTCCCTGAGATTGATAACGGGGCGAAATTCGCCTGTTTTCTTCCTGACCAGGAAGATATTGCTGTAGAAACCGGTGGCATCCGGAGCCGGTTGGATGGCACCCTTGGAGCGGAGTTCTCGGAGTTCCGCGTCTATGAGGCGGGCATCTGCCCGTGTAGTCTGGATTGGACGTGGAGGGGCCAGCTGGAGCGGGGTCGAGTCGAACTCTATTCGATAGCCCTGCACCGTTTGGATTATCCACGCATCTGAAGACAGTTCTTTCCAGTTCTGGAAAAAGAGAGAAACACGACCTGCGATATGACAGGGGGTTAGAGGAAGAGTAAGATTCCGACTTACCGTTGGAGAATCTTGCTCGTGAACGTCCTCGGGTGCCTCGGCCACGATCAGATCCCCTGAATTGGTGGAATCTATTTCGACTAGATGAGTCTGGGTAGAACATCTGCTGAGTCCTTGTTGTACCGGGGCCGGATGGCCAAAAACGGCTGGCGGCACGGCCCCTCTGCCGTCCAGCCCTTCCAAAAACACCACGGGTGTGGGAACCGCGGAAGACTTTCCGCATGGAAGATTGTGCCTTGTTAAGGGACGTGAATATGTTAACCCTTTTATTTAATTCCTTAAGGAAGGCCTCTCCAAATAATTTACCCTGTGCTAAGGGTCCTAATTCCTTGTCCCCCAGTTCGACCAATTTTTCGTCGATACGGTAAAGTGCTGCTCGGCGCCTCTCCGAAGAGAGGGCTACGTTGGTGTTCCCTAGGAAACAGAAACACCTTTGTGCCCATTCCCGAGTATCTCGTGCCCATTCACGCACCGTATCTGGGGTAAAAGTGTCAGCCCTCTCATA